ATGGACTGTACGCTGTGGCTTGGTGCAAGCTGGCTGCGCCTCCTTCTCCTCTTCTCGTGTCCGCTGGCTACTCATTACTTTTCGTAGTGATGCAGCTTTGGATCAAGGTGCTGCTCAAGCCCTTCGGTTTCACATCCAGCCTCACAGCTAAAGAGACAGGGTGGTTTTCTTTATTTCACTGAAGCTTTAGGATCTTATCTCTTTTGCTAACAGCGTTCTTCACAGAAAGCAGCTGAGAGGCGACCCTCAAAGAGGCTGAAGACTGAACATCCGGATCTAGTAAAATCTGAACCAGAAGGACTTGCATGTGGAAGTGGAAACCTTGCTGCGCTGGGGGAAACACCTACAACAGCCGATGGGGATCAAGGTTCAGAGGATCCAGGAGACCATGATGGAATTCAACAGCAAAAAGGTGAAAGCATTCCAGAGACTACCGAAGAGAAGCGGGAGAAGGAGCATCCTGTGTCTCACAAGCCAGGGGTGGTGAAATCCAGCAGCGCCCCGTCACAGCCGGGCAGTGGTGATGATGTGCATGCTCGTGCCTGCAGTGAGGAGAGCAGCTGTGAGGATGCGCTTTCGGATGGCTCTGGCTCGGAGGATGCTGATCTCCCGAAGAAGCCGACGCGACTAGACAGCAGCGCCTTCGTGGATGAGGACAGCAACCAGCCGATGCCCATGCACCGGTTCTTTGGCGATGTTGAGTTTTTGCAGGTGAGACAATGACCGTCTGCTCATGCTTTACAGGCTCAGCTCCGTTCCACTCCAAACTAGATTAGGCTAGATTCAAAACTGTACTTACCTGGCATCATATCTCTGTCCCCTCGATAGAACTGCCTCAATCGGAGATGAAACTAATTGCCCAGCCAGGTTAACTTCAGGTGTAAAATCTTTCTTATTTAGATTCCTTAGTCCAATTCCATTAATCACCTATTTTTACTCATAAAGACATAGGCAGCTGTATTACGGAGACATGGTGTCATTGTCACAGTGTTTTCTCACTGTGTGGTGGTGCCTGGTATATGGGATGTGGCAGCATGTGAGCCTGTGGGGAGGCAGGAGCTCTGCCATTTGCCACAAGAGACCTTGCTCACTGGTTTTCTCTTCTCTTTAAAGGACCTCCCAGCAGTTGCACTCCCAAGCACAACGATGAGCAGGCGAGAATTCAGAAAGCTACATTTCATTGCGAAGGAAGAGGAGGAGGAAGAGGATGTTGTCTAACAACAAACTGTAAATAAACTAAACCTTTTTTCCTTGCAACCATGTAATGCTGGTTGGCTGTTGCTAACATAAGGTGTCTGCGTTTGCCTTTTCTGAGAGAGAAGTGGTGGAGTTTGTTTTTCTGGAGTTGGCAGATACAGGATTCTCCCACAGTTATCTGGGGCTGAGATTGACTAAATTGTCAGTGATTTGGAAATAAATTGTAATTTATCATTTTACCACTAATGTTTAGGAAAAAACCTTGGAAAATAGCAGTTCTTGCAGCTTGCTTAAGAATTTGAGGCCCTGCCTAGGGTGAACGTTTGGTCTTTTTTAGAAATAGCCACTTGAGACATGTTAGAACAAGTTCCTTTTGCTGTTCATTCTGTGATGTCTTTGTGGCATCCTCTTAGTAATGCAGCCAGTTGACTACCCAGAACCAAGAGGGACACCAGCCTCTGTTGTGTGTGTTGCACTGTTTATCTCTAAACCAGACCCAGTTAAACCTTAGAAGTGCCCCTCTACTGGTAAAGCTAAACACATGGATTCAGCGTGAGGGCTGCGGTGCTGATCTCTGGAAGTCAAGTAGTTCTTACTGCATGTCAGTTCTCTTAATAACCACCACATGAAGCTGGCTGCTTCCCTCTTCCACCAGAGCAGCTGTAAGCACTGCCTGTGGCAACAGCCACGCAGTGCAACACGGGCAGTGTTTTCAGTTGACTTCCCAGGGTTAGGAATAGGGATTTTGTACACAAACGCATCAGCAGTGATAAAGGAGGAATAAAACTGCTCGGTGTGAGGCTTGATCTGTAGGTGAGCGAGTACTGCCTGCTAAGGATGCGGGTCAGCCCACCACGATTGTTATTCTAGCCTGCATTTTTACCCAATAATGGGTAATTTCAGATGGTTTCAGAACTGTGAACTCCCCCTGTGTTTATGATAATACATCTTTGAAAGTGTGATTACGCGATAAGCTCCCAGATCTTTATTGTTACAGTTCCTTCTAGTTTTCTATAAAATATAGAGAAAATGTTATCAGCAGATGGCTTAAATAAATATTAATTTCTACAGCTACAGCCTGTTAAACATGCAAAAGTTGTAAGTCAAACAAATTGTATATGCATGACATGTTAATTTATTCACATTTCCACTCCAGCTGATGCATTGTTTCTGTCAACGATATTTCTTGGCTCCTTTTCACTCTTAATTCTTTAACACAGAAAAATCTAATTTTTTAATAGCATATTCATGGTTCTCAGCACAACTCCAGCTTGAAGCAGCTCTCCCAGCGTTCCTTAGATGCTCTATTTGCTGCTGTCTCTTTCTAGCAAATACGGCTTCGCACACAGACAGTTGGGTTTGTTTCAGCACCGTGCAAAACAGTGATTCTCAGTTTGTAGGAAGTGCACCATACAGATGTCACTGTTTTGTCATCAGGGTCTTAGCTGTGATGCCATCCCCAATGGCAAACCATGCAGTGAGTGCTTGCATGTTGGGTACCAGTGATGTGTAGTCAATAAGGTGATACAGAAGGATCAAATCATTGCTGATAATTTTTTGTTATTTAAAAAAGTTCACATCATTTACACTGACAGTCCCCAGAAGTTCAGTTGCTGTCAGCTGGTGTTTAAAAAATCAAGTAAAAATGGATCCAGTTGTATTTTGTTACCTGAGGTAGGAAGTGTTTTACAAAGGCAGTATTCTCTAGAGCACCAGGTAAAACTGATTATGCAGTTACATTCCTTGTGTTGCTTCAAGCAAACTCAAGCAACAGAGGCAGAAACAGAAAGGAGAAATCAGTGGGGAAGATGCCAAAGAACCAAGGTGGCAGAAGCAAAGATGTGCCATGGCCTTGCTCTTCAACAGCAGAGTGGTCATGGATGAGTTTTGGCACAGAAGAGCCAGCAGCTCTGTCACTGAATCACCCTTTGGCACACTGAAATACAGTGGTTATCCACCTGGAAAAGGCATGAGCAGAGTAATTATCCTAAAGTATGCTGTTTGGTGTAAAGTTCGCAGAAATACACATCTAGAATTAGTTTTTTGGGCCTACATTTGCCATGGCTAGAGAGGCCTGTCAGCCTCTGGCCTCAGTCTTATACTGACTCACAGCTCTATTTTACCACACTCAACACAGTGTGATGGAAGGCAGGAGAGCAGAATGAAGCATGAGGTACCTGTATGCTCTGTGAGATGGCAGCTGAATTACTTAGCCAGTTCTTTTAGCCAGGGACTCTGAAATAAGTCCTTCTTCAAGAAACTAGAGCTATTTAAAACCAACACGATTTTGAGGGAAGCAGAAGTCGCTTCCAGAGATGCACTATGAAATCCTGTGGTTGTGCTTCCCTCTCCTGTAAATTTTAGTTTTGTCACAGCTGAGGTTATGATTGGTTTTCTTATGGCAAGCAATATGTACAAGTTTTAAATTATCCACAGTAAACAGCAGCTGATAGAAGTATTCCCAGTTCACTTCCCTTCCATCTCGTGTTTTGACAGCTTCTGCCAGTTCTGGGACAACAGCACGTTTCTTCTCTATTCTTCAGTGCACAAAAGAGAAAACAGTATTGCCGTTAAGGCTTTTTTTCATCATAATTGAGCATCCCTCTCCCTTTCAGAGACAGGCAGAATGTGAATTCTTTCACTGTAACTAGGCTTTCCAACCCGAGGAAATTTACCAAATCCTGTTTGCTTCACGACTGCACAATGCCTGAAAACAGGTCTGGGGGTTTGCCAGAGAGGAGTCTCCACAAAGGGGACATGGTGAGGAGGGATATGTTCTGTACAAGGAAAATCTGAACAGAAGCAAAGCAGCTAATGAGAGACAGCATTATCATCTGCCTCCGGGATTGTATGTCACCACAAGCAGCTGCAGCACCCAAGCACCTTTTACCCCAGCGCACTCCTCATGGCAGAGCTGACTGCACAGTGGGGTGGGTGAAGACTCTGGCTGTACCTTTCCTGCCTAAGATGAAGGGCAGTTTGGATTAACACTTTGTACGTACATGTGATCGAGATTCCAGGTACTGAAGAGGATTCTGCTCTCCCTGTTACTGTAGGGATTGATGGAATGCTTACATGGGCAGTCATCTCTGTCGAAAGGTCCCTATAAAACAAGAAGGTGTGCTGCTCACCACGACTGACTCAAGATCACCCACACCGTTGCCCTGCCAAGCTCAATACTGCACTACGTGCATATCCAGCTAACTCCTTCCTTCCTCTGCTGTCACTGCAAGTCACGGTGCTGCTTTCTGGAACCAAGACTCTGCTTTAAAAAGGGCTGAACTCACCTGACAGGAGAACCACCCCTCCGTGGTGCACAGGCGGGCTCCCTCCTCCTCCTCCCTTCTGTCAAAGTAGCACCCGTTGTATTTCACAGATTTCAGTTTATCTGCCATCAGGTCAGTGATCCTTTTATATGCATTTCTTGCTGTAGGATGAACGTTTGAAATAAAGCTGCTAACCTAGAGAGGGGGGAAAAAAACCCTTGGTGACTCTAGCAGCCTGAAGCTGTTTTCCACAATCATATTGCACTATAGAAGCCTTTTGTATACACGTGATCACATAATTAAGTTGCAGCTTGAAAATAAGTTACTTCAGAAACTTTTACCTCTTTCATGTAGCTTCGTATTCTGCTTTCACAACTGTATCGCATGTAGCTTGACTTGTTCTTAAAGCGAGACTCTAGACCTAAAGGGAGTTAAGAGTATGTTTGTGGCTTCTGCCTTGCTCCTTCCTTCCAAACTCAGTACGTGCAGATGTTTGTTTTCGTTCCCATTTTCATTTTACTGGGTCAGGACTACCCTGCTCTTAGCGATTAAAAGCCCACCCAGAGCACCAGCTCTCAGAGCAGTAGCTGATGTTATAGTTGTTCATAACTAAAGAGATTGTGTGAAGAAAGCAATTGTTCAAGAAGAACCACAACAATGATTGTGGGAATGGGAGAGGCAGCTTGTGAAGATGTCCAGGAAACAGCAAGGTTAGCTGGCTGGTACCTGCAGTTAGCAGGATGCTATTAGCAAATCCTTAACGGAATAGCAAATGCATAACTGTGCTAATGGGGAAAACAATGTACTCCAGAGCAATCTTGGGTAGAGCAACAGGGAAACTGGGGTGTTTCTAACCATTTTCTGATGCTAAATATGCATATATTGTAAAGAAGCCTTAAAAATGTGACCACTAATCCCCTGACCAGGTACCAACCCGCCCCAGCCAGAAGCGCTCCCGGGTTTTTAAACTATCTTACAATGATTCTACTTCAAGAACAACAGGAGTGACCGAAGCGAGTGTCTCCAGCCGGGCGAGCCCCGGTGCCCCACGGCAGCTCCCTGAGGTCACCGGACGTACCTTCAAACCACTTCTCATCCTCCTCCTTATCCTCGGCCAGGATGTTCTCGCTCAGGTTG